GATGCATATTTCTCTTTTATTTTTTAAAATGTCAACAGAAATAGAAGTGTGATATTGCTGTAAATCTGAGCAGGAGAAATACATAAATGAGCTTAGTTCGATAATGGGTTGATAATCCTTTAAAGTTAAACTCTCATTCAAACAAACAGTCACTTTTGTAAATTGCACAATAGTAGCACATATGAATTGATTTTTACAAGAACAAAACAACAAAAAAATAACATCTCTTTAAATAAGAGCAAGACAAACAGCAATTAAATGCTCAGGAGAAAAGGCAACTAAGCTTATCTGTACAGTTTACTGTAAGACATACAGATGGAAAGAGTACAACAGCTCACGGTTATGTATTTATAAAGGTGTAAATAATCCTCTAATGAAATTGAAAAGTCTAAAAGCGTGCACATAAAAGAGCAAGGATGTTCGGGCAGCGCTCGTGTCCGTGATTGAGCTGCCCTCTCTACCTTGGGCCACAATCGCTAAAGCCACATTCATTCGCTCAATGTACCATTGAATATAATTAAATTTTCCTTCCTTTTAAAGCTTCACACAACAATCAAAGCAGAATTTCTTGTATTATAAATTGCTTACTATTTATTTCCTCAGGTATGTCCCACTGGATCATACTTCAAATGTCAACAAGGCAAGTAGGACGTCGTTTCGAACCTTGACTTACCCACCGAGTTGTGAAATCCAAGACCCTCAACGCTCATGACCCAGTTAGCAAAAAGCTCGAGGGGGAGGTGAAAAGACTGAATTGCTTCTAACAGGAAAATGGAACCGCGGAAAACACAGTTTGACACCTACAGGTAAGGAAAGGCTGTCGAACTCAACAAATACAGAGATTCGATGAACAGCGGGAGGGGTTAAAGGTCACCAGAATGAACCTGACGGATAACCTCTATTTGGCCGCCTAACGGTACACTAAATGCCATTTCGGAGATTCAACCGCCAAGAAATTGAGATGATTCCATCTCTACACCCAGAAGTCTTTCGTTCAAGCTTAATGTTGAGTAAATCTGGATTATTAGTCCAACTAACCATAACCTGTCCTACAACCTAAACACAGTCGACTCCTGTTCCATCATTAAAACTCAAATTATTTAGAGGGAGCCGAGGTTAAAGGGCTGAGATGTGGGAAGTTAGGATTTAGCTTTGGATAATGGCTGGGATTGGTGAGCCAAATGACTAAAAGTTCAGTTGGTTCCTGTTTGGATGGGGATGGGAAATGGGATAGGGATATTTGCAAGGGAGAGGTCACAAGAGTTCAGGGTAGGTTGTATCATTGTCCGAGAGTGAAAGCCAATCGTTTTGCCATTTTTTACTGAGGACACACAGTTCCAAATGTCTCCTGGGAGGCGTAGACCATGTACAGGAAGCCGTCCTCGTCTCGCTCGCGTTCGTAGACCTCAGAAATGGCGGTGGACACAGATACCATGCTGTGACCGTTGACAAGTAGGAAGAAAGCCTGACTGGAGTTGAGCTGGAGGCGTCTCCTTTTGGAAATGCACATGAACCAGAGATGCATTAGCGAAGTTTTTTATTCAGAAATAGTAATGATAAAGAGAAATTATAATGAAAGGCAAGCGGTAAAAGACATTTGTTTGGTGTTACCTGATGATCTTAATAAGTTCGCTCATGTTTACGTGGTCGGGAACTAAAAACTTAGTTTTGTCAAGAATTGGCAGTTGCTTTTCTCCCTTGTATCTCTCAATGATGACCTGAAACAAAACCAACAAGCTAAACATTAGCATATATGCATATTTATTTTAGTGTACATACAGGGCTGTACGTTAACTTTTTTTTCACATAGCACTGGTGCTACAGAGGTTGAACGTTTTGTAGCACAGGCCAAAATGTTGTAGCACAAGTATAAAACGTCTGTTATCATGTCTGAAAACAAACACAAGTAATGGAGTTCATCACTTAAACAGGCATTGATGTTCCATACAGAGCACAAAAAAGCACACCTCTAACTACCAAGTATAATCAATCTCACACACACAAACAAGCACAACGAAATCACTTCACACTATTAAGCAGCTGTGTTATGAACATGCAAAACTGTATCGCACGCGTGCTACAGTGGTAAATTTATTCATCGCACAGACCAGTTTTTTCGTAGCACGTGCGACATATATGTCGCACTGTACAGCCCTGACATAGTATGTATGTGCTCTACTGTTTAAACATTTGGGGTCAGTAAGTTTTTAAAGACGTCTCTTATGCTAACCAAGGTTGAATTTATTTGATCACAAATACAGTAAAACAGTAATATTAACAAAATTTAAAATAACAATTTTCTATTATAACTATTCTATTAAAATGTAATTTATTGTTATGATAAAGCTGAATTTTCAGCATAATTACTCCAGTCCTCAGTGTGACATGATTCTTCAGAAATCATGATAATTTATATATTTGGGACTCAGTATAATAATAAATATATTTGTGGAAACAATGATAGACATTTATTCTAGAGTGTTTAAATAGAAAGTTCAAAAGAACAGCATTTATTTGAAACATAGGTAAAAACGTTTGCATACTAAGTGTTCAATCGATTTTAATTGGTTATCAATTTTAATCTTCATCTCCAGCTCCACAGACACAAATATAATCTGCTTACTGGGATCTTGCTTGGATGCTGTTCCCGGATCAGCCGTACATCCTCCACCCGCTGCTCTGTGGAGAGGAAGTAGGAGCGGATATTAGATACAGCAGATCACAATACAGGATGCATTAAACCACAGACATTTTACTGAGCTGGATATGGGTTTGGATCTCAAGTATCAATCAATTCTCCAAAGGACCAAGTTTAATTGTGATTAACAGGTCCACGTTAAACTTGTTAGTCCTATCCTGTGGTTCAGTTTCAAACGAACAAGAAAGGGCATCGAAACTAAGAAGGTTCTGTTCCAAATGAAATTGAATACGTTTAAGGGTGCATAAATAATGACTAAATATTAATTTTCGGTCAACTGTCGCTTTAAGAAAACACTCAACAACGGCTCCAGTGTTTGTCTGTTCTTCCCAGTTAAATTGCTTGGAATATTAGTTTATTTCTTTGTTGTGTAAGCATTTGTTCCACATCATTTTCTCTTAACGATTTAATGAACAGAAATGAAAAAGAAACAAGGCAGGCCTTTGTGTACCAAGCTAACTAGACTTTGAACAAAAGACATGACTCAGCATGACATGACAGTATCTACAGAATACCATAAAACAATAAAACGACAAGTGTAGAAAACACAGCACTGCATTGATATTGTAGGACAAACTACGTTTCCAAAGAATTAGAGACACAAAGGAACAAGATAAAACTTCAGTCTGGGGACCATGAGGTCTTGTGATGGTTCATGAACTTGACTGAGCACGTGCTGCTGATGTATGAAACTGATGTATGAAACGTGCAATTATTGAGCAACTGTGGTAACTTTTGGTGTCTGACTACTAAACCTCACCCATTTCATCGAAATTTGTTCTTTAGTTTCGTTTTGAGCACCTGGTTCATCCTTTCTTAAAGTTTTATAATAAAAGCATTCACGGTACCTATATGGAACTACATATGATAAAAACAACAAAGTCATACCTACATATAATTATCATTTACACTTCTCATGTAAAAATGATATTCATTAAAACTCTGTTTGTTCATAAAACGTGTTCGACCGACTCCGTCGACTCCAGAACCAGTTCGGTTCAATTCGCTTAAAATCGTGAACGAGTTGTTTAGTTTGGTTTTTCTTTATTAAAAAAAAGATTCTACTTTAGAAAGACGTCGCTACTAACATGAGCTTGTTTGGGCTGACTGTCACAACAACATTGGCTGAAGATGAATTAGGTAATTTACGGGCTGATATCTCATTTGTTTTATAACTATCCACATCAAGACACACGGGCCTTATTAAAAAAACCCCAATAGGCTATATTGTCTTACAGCATCGCTAAAATAAGTACGTTATGAATACAAAAAAAAGGCCAAAATGCTGTCTGGCTAAGTCTCTCACTATGCTATCAGCTATTTTTCCACTTCAGTCCCAAAACGGGATGGAAAACAAGAGTGGTAACGGTTATGAGAAGGATAACTCAGCGCCGATACTTCGCCTTTACACAGGCCTATAACTGAACGCAATGATCACTGTAACAGAAATACTATTATTTATTTATTTTTTTCAGTAAATGTCGATGTTATCTGAACAGTCACTATTGAAATATTACGAATATTCATTCGGCATCATTGTTTGTTTACTCGAGTCCTTCCAAATAACCTTAAACGACGAGTCCCATCCCCCAATCCTGCAGCGCGGTGTTTCGCTAACATCTGCCCACAAACAATCAAAGACATCGCAACATAGATTCTGGGTTTGGTATGTTGAAAATAAGGTATGAGAAACTCGTTATGTTGTTTATGTTATGGTCATGAGTCTGTAGCCTGTATGTTTATATAGTCTGAATTACACGGCCGACACCCTTATAACCCAGTTTGACTAGATTGTTTGTAGAGTAACAACAGGACCTATTTTTATATCGCATACATTTCGTGTCGTAATATAATACGATGCGTGTATTACATTAATACACACTTCACTACAATATTCAGGTATTTTAGGTAACTTACTAGATATTGCTGTATATACCATTACAAATATAAACGACAATCACAAACTTTCCCAGAATATAGGCTTACGTAAACGTGCCATTCCAAATGTAAAATGAATACATATATCAGAAATACAGTAGAAACGCGATTCTCTGATGATATGAACTCGATACACTTACCAAATGTCCTCCTTTGTTTAAATGTCTTTTCCGAAGGCATGTTTAAAATGCGACTAGACACCGTTTTCTTTAGGCAAACTTGCCTAATTTCTTTCCTTTTCTGTCTCTGAACAGACCTTAATCGGTTATGTTTTAAATAAAGCGAAATCGTATATTTCAGATGCGTGTCGTTGCTTCGTCCTATGAAGTCCGTCTTACCCAGCAAAACAAACCAGTCAGCTGACCTCTGACGTCATGGCGCATATGCTGTGTGCATGCAGGAAAAGGGGAAGAGTTTGAGGTTAGTCACTATAATGAGGCATATTTTTAGGGTAGGTTTTGTCTGTGGCAGTTCTCATTTATTCTGTATGCTTACTCTATTCATACTTGTTTCAGTTCAACTGTTCAAGAGTTATCGGATTCTGAAAGACTTAAACCATTTCCAAGCATATGTCACACTTTTTACTGCAGTGAATGTTTACAGTCAGTCAACACATGTTGACAATATATGAGGTTAGTTTAATTCAGTGGTCATTTAACAGGCTCTGCAGACAGTATTTAAACAACAAAACAGTTATGATTTAGCAGATTTTGTTTAGATTTTGTGGTTTACACAAGCTAGTGTACAATAATGCTTGCCAGATGACTCAGCCTTAACTCCTTAAATTATACTGTTGTTAAGACTGAGTCATAAATAATTTAAAGAAACAGGGCCCGTATTCACAAAACATTTTATCTTACCACTAAGAGTTCTCCTAAATAGCAGTAAAAGTTTTTTCAAATAAAGATTTTAAAATGCAGGCTAAGTGTCACTAATTAAACAAGTATATGTTCAGCTAACTGTCAGCCTCTTACATGTATGCTTCTCAAAAACAATTAGCGGATATGCATATAAACAGCCTTTTAATTAACAGAGTAGAATAATCATGGCCGATAGTAAGACATGCAGACGTAAAAGAAAACCAAACTGGACTCAAGAACAGCTCTTATTTCTTGCCTAGCTGGTTAATGAAAACAAGGATATAATCAAAGGAAAATCTGGAGTTGGGATAACCTCCAAAACCAAAGGTGATACCTTTATAAAAGCTCATTATCGTCAAACGTTTCTAAAATGTTTACGTTCCGAGGCAGATTGCCAGCAACAGACATTTTAGGATAGTTTGTGGCTTGGTCTTAGTGACTTAGGAGTCCTCTTCACTACTCCTAACGTTTCACAGATTTAGGAGCTAGCGCTAAAACGCTTTGTGAAATACTCTTAGAGCAAAAATTTAGGAGTCCTAAATTTAGGACTGACACACCCATTTTTTAAAAGATTTTCTCCTAAATCTGCAAGTTATGAGCTACTTTTAGCCTTAAGATGTTTTGTGAATACGGGCCCGGCCCAGATTTGTATGGAATCTTGTTTCTGCCACAGGATAATTTTTTTTTAAATGTGACTATCTGTCTCACAATTCTGACATTTGCCTCACAGTACTGAGTTTATATATCAAAATTCTTACTTTTTTTCACGCAATTCTGAGTTGAATAATTGCAAGATGCAATTCTGAGAAGAAAAGTCGGAATTACAAGATGTAACTTAAAATTGCAAGGAAAAATATTCAGAATTAGTCAATTTAAAAATCACAGTTACCTCTTTTATTTATTTTTTATTCTGTGGTGGAAACAATGAAACTGATTTGCTCAGAATTCAGAAAAAAAGTCAGAAATTGCAAGATAAAATATCTCACAATTGACTTTTTTCTTAGAAATACAAGTTTATATCTTGCAATTCTGACTTTTTTCTCAATCCGGTTACATCTCACAATTTTGTTTTCTCATAATTGTGAGGGGAAAGTTAGAATTATAATATTAAATCTCACAATTATGTTTTTTATTTTTTTATCCTGTGGTAGAAATGGGCTTCCATAGAATTGTGACTGTTTGTGTGTGTGTGTGGCAGGCAGCTACGTCACTAACTGATGTTTCAGAAATGTTTCAGAATAGATAAGCTTATAATGCCATGGAGATAAATGCTATGTTTTGTTGGTACTGTAAACAGCAATAAAGTAACAATATTTACAACAACATTGACTTAGTTAAACCAAGCCACTATCGATGTTAACTTATGATAGAAATGTGTCAATTTGAAAGCAGTGGTCTGATGCTGAAAAACAAATGGAGCCAAATAGTACAATTATTCTTACTTTTGTTTTATTTGTGGTATTATTTTTAGAGATGTTGTAGTACAAACATAAATGGGACCCCTGTGATAAAAACTAACCACAGATACAGTATGTGATAAAGGTACTCAGTTGTTTATTCCCTTCCAGCATATTACTAGGCTTGACAAGGTCTGTTTTGCCAGGCCCTGGTATATTTAGTGACTCACTGACTATCAGGGAGCATGTAAGTGAAAGTGAAAACAATATTGACAATTCAGCATTGTTAGCCGCTAGGCGTCCATGTGCCATGCTGCAAAATGATTCATTTTATTAAAGTTAACCTCTTGAATACTGAGTGGATTGTTAGATAGAGTATGAATTGCAGCAGGATATTAATAACAGCAGAGCATTATTCTATAATAGATGGAAAATATAAAGTTAAGTTTGAGGGCAATTCAGCTTACTCAACACAGCAACCTTGAACTTACCACATGAGTCATATAATAGGCTACATTATAATTTTACAGTTAGGTTTTTTTTCTTTTCTTTTTTTTTTACATTTTATAATTTAAATGACAAACATTTTGTGTAGTAGATAAGAATTAATCAACAGACTATTAATAGGTAAGCATATGAAAGAGTTTTTTTCCTCTCAAAGATTTTTGCTTTAACCTTCTGTTATGTTGGATGTGAGCTAACACGGAACATCTGTGCTATAATTGCACATTTCCTTTTTTTTTCTTTTCCTTCTGTTTTTTAGACTTTTGCAGTGAAAAGAGGAAAATCTTAAAAATATGTTTATACTCATTATTAGTTAAAAAAGAAAGAAAGAATATACCTACAGTATTCATATTTGGAGACTCAGTTGTTTAAAACTGGTTTGTCTTACCATATTATTTTCATGTATTATCTTAATTATGAACATTGAACAGTGCAAAGAGTTTTACCGTTTCCTGCAGTTTGTTATTCTTCTCGTTATTTCCCTACAGCGGCTAATGAACCGGAAGTCTCGCACATTTTTTACTGAAACGTTTGAAACTAATATTGTATGGATGTATATTATTTTTTAAATTCATGCAGCCTAGAGGAAAACCTAATTCTGACATCACATATTAGTAAAGGCAATGACAAGCAATGACTATAGAATACCTTAAAGGGACTTTGTGACAAGTGTAAAAACTTAAACTGGCAAACAGTCAAACAATAGGCCTTCCATATTTATAATTCAAGAGGGCGAAATGGGCACCACAAAACATTCCAGTTAAGGCCTATTAATAATAATAATAATATAAAAAAATCAGAGTATCCACCTTACTTGTAATGTAAAAGCTCGCGCGGCCATTTGTAACTTAAATGTGGTGCGAGACTTCCGGTGTCATTCCAATTATTTTGGCTGTACAAAAACAGCCCGTTATGCTGCTTGATATTGCAAACAGAGATTACTTATCATATTATTTTAATGTATTGTCGTAATTATACAATGTCAGCTTGGCATTGAAAATGGTCAACATGTGACCGAAACGTTTGCCTTGTTTCATTCAGTAAATTGCTTGTATTGTTTTCATCTCGCTTGTGACTCTTTGATGTTTGAGTGTGCGGACTTTTTTCAAGCTCTTCACCTGTGGGAAACTTTTTTTTGGTCTACGCAACTCAGTTGGATTATTTTGAAGGCGCGGTGAGTCTCTGGCTGCTTCTTTGTCGTAATTATACACACACACACACACACACACACACACAGGTTGTAGTACAAATAGTACCGTTTACTGCACTTATTCTTCTAGTTATTTACCTAAGGGGCACATTCCACACAAAATAATGCAGATATCGTAAGAGAAAAGTTGCTTTGAATTTGAAATGCGTTACTTATGTTAGAACTTAATAGTAAATAGGCTAATCCAAAAACTATTAGACTACAGACAATGTGTCTTCATGTAAACCGAAAGACAGAGAGGCGACTACATGCGCATTCATCTCTGTGTTTGTGTGTGTGTTATTATGGATCACTTTAGTCACACTCTGTGTTCCTGTCATCGTCCCAGCCATCAGATGGTGGGCAGCTCACTCACGGCTGGGCACTCAACTGATGGCAGCTGTCCTGTAGGAAGTGCAGTTGGCACGGGTTTATCTGCGATATCGCTCCCTTACGTCGCCTTGGCAGTGTGTCACGGTATAAATATTCAATACTTCTGAGCACACTTTTTAGAGTCTCAACTTCGTGTTGATCCAAAAAATGTGTAGAATCTTGTTAAATTGCAGCATAATGAGGTGTTTCGTAATTGTATTAATTATAAAATCACAATTAGCCACACAGAGGAAGTCCATATTGTCCATAAGAGGCTTGGGCGTCTGCATGGAGCGACATAATCTGGGCGCTACAGGGTTGCTGAGTTTACAGCAGGGGGCGCTCTTGTACAATCACTGCCCATCATGATTACAAGGGCCCCGGGGGACTGTGAGAGGCAGTCTGCTATTTCTGACACATCCTCTCAAACAAGCCTGCTTTCGGCTTTCAGAGACATTAAAGCTGCCACGCAACTCAAAAGACTAGTCACACTCTGTGTTCCTGTCATCGTCCCAGCCATCAGATGGTGGGCAGCTCACTCACGGCTGGGCACTCAACTGATGGCAGCTGTCCTGTAGGAAGTGCAGTTGGCACGGGTTTATCTGCGATATCGCTCCCTTACGTCGCCTTGGCAGTGTGTCACGGTATAAATATTCAATACTTCTGAGCACACTTTTTAGAGTCTCAACTTCGTGTTGATCCAAAAAATGTGTAGAATCTTGTTAAATTGCAGCATAATGAGGTGTTTCGTAATTGTATTAATTATAAAATCACAATTAGCCACACAGAGGAAGTCCATATTGTCCATAAGAGGCTTGGGCGTCTGCATGGAGCGACATAATCTGGGCGCTACAGGGTTGCTGAGTTTACAGCAGGGGGCGCTCTTGTACAATCACTGCCCATCATGATTACAAGGGCCCCGGGGGACTGTGAGAGGCAGTCTGCTATTTCTGACACATCCTCTCAAACAAGCCTGCTTTCGGCTTTCAGAGACATTAAAGCTGCCTCGCAACTCAAAAGATTTAATCCTGTAATTCTGACATGTATGATCCTGAACGCATTATGTAGAATTGTTCGTGCAAATCTCTTGCATAATTC